GTTCTAAGTAGGTGCTTTAGACCACTGAGCCATCTCACCAGCCCCTTTCTGATATTTTTAGTTAAGGTCAAAACTCTCATGCATTTGTCTGATAACTAGTAAGACAGTTTAGTCCCAGAAATACTTCACTCAGTATCTTCAGTGCTTGGGGTAAGTACTTTTCTCTAGTGATTGTACCTTTCCTCATCAATATTCTGTAGGGTGTTCCAATATCTTTTTTTTGCAGTACTGGGGATTGAACACAGGACCTTGCACTTGCCAGGTAAGTGCTTATTCTACTGAGCTATCTCCCTGGCCCTCTAATATCTTAAAGGCATGACAGTGGCCCTATTGAAGCTGAGCTTACCCTTCTCTGACCCTTCTTTTCATTCTGGTAGTGCTGAGGAAGAGGATCCCCCCTTCCCCCCAGTTCCCCAAACAACCAGGTTTCTATTTTTTGAGACCATTGATTACATATTTAACCATCTTTGAGTAGTCTTCTTGCTTTCAGCACCATCTTTACTTCTTATTTTTGAACTACACATTGCTAGGAATTCCTGGGCATGTTAGGGGTTCTTCAGCATGAGTAATTTGCCTTGCAATTTCCCCAGGGCCAGGACTCAGTGTTTCTGGGTCCGCTAAGATGGTTTTCCATGGACTCATTAGTGTCACAGCTTTTATATGTACACATGCATGCACTATAGCATGTACAGTCTGCCCACCCACTTTCTGTGGGGCTATGTCTTTACAAATTAATTCAGGATCACTTCAGTAGAGCTATGAAGTAAGCACAAGTCATCAGCTTAGATCTTGCCTTTCCAACTCTCCCTTCTATCCTCTGTAACACCTTGTGGCACATGGAGTGGTTGGTAATCTATTCTCCATGTAAATCAACTCCTAACTCGTATTTTATAATTTGCGTGTTTTGCATTAATACAGTCTAAGTTTCTTAATACAGGCTGCTCATCTCAGAAAAATCAGAAATACTCCAAAATCTAAAATGTTTTGAGTATTACATAGCTGTTAAAAGCATTTCAAATTTTAGAGCACAGTGGATTTCAGACTTTTAGATTAAGGAGCTCAACTGGTAAACTCTGCATACATTCCAATTCTTTTTTAAAAACCCTCAAATATGAAGCAAAGCATTTTGGATAAGGGACCATCAGACTGTTCTTTCTTATGTTACATAATTATCCTTTCCTACTGGGATTACTTTTCTTTAATGTTTGTGGTTTAATTTTTAATATTTTTAATAGTTTCTTTAAAAATCATCTGTTCTCAATTTGAGTGTCATAGTTTATTTTTCTTAGTATACAGACATTAGCCATTTGTAATCTCATTGAGGTTTTATATGTTATTTTAACACAAAGAATGTGGTGTCATTTATAATCCTGCATAAGTGATTTCTCATTGTTTACTTGTTAGCTGTACTCACCTGCTTTGGAACTCTTTGAGCTGAAGGGTGAGGACGAGAGAGTGTAGAAGTTTACATGTGCTCAGTTCTTCCTGCACTCATTTCTCCTTTTTCTTAAACTCTTCACCAAGGACCGCCAGTCAGAACCAGGGTTCTACTGACACTTTAGAGCTCTTCTCTACAGAGGCTTCAGGTTCTGAACTGAGTCCTGAATTTACAGGTGGCTGCTTCTCCTTCCTCCCACCTACTTAGGCAGCACAGAGCTAAAACCACAACTGCAGCCCTGGTCATAGGCTTGCTGTCCCGCTGGTAAAAGGACGAGATGCCAAGCGCAGGCCCCGGTACTCAGCTTCAGTCTACTAACATCTTCCAGGGGCCCTGCCTCACGCAAACCCCAAAGATCTATGTTTTTATGATCTGCTTTTGGGTTGTGCTGCAATTGTTCTGTGCATTTCAGTGTTATCTCCTCAATAGTGCAAGTGCTGTTTTATTTATTTTGTTTTTGAGTGAAGTTAAGAATTGTATGCTGTCTGGGTTGTAAGTGAAGCTTCTGTGTGAAATTGCAATTATCTCCATTTGTCCAAAATCAGGTGTTTTAGATTCTTAGATATGAAAGTGTAAAAGATGCAAGACACACCTCCTATCGGCTAATAGTCATCCCTTTGTAGCAGAACTTCCATGAATCAGTGAATAAACAAAGCTTATATCCTTTTACAGTAGTCCCTTTTCTAGGGTGTCTCAGGCCCTGGGTCTAACACCCAGCACTGAAAAATCTACTCTTCCTGGGAAGAAAGTTTAAAGGAAGTAGGGAGTTAATTTGGAAGGAAGCTGTCTTCTGTCACAAAATAAGTATTTCAGGTCAGTGAGATTTGTTAAATTGGATGTGATTTCTAATAATCTTATGCAGTTTGACTCCTTTAAAGGTCTTTTAGTGTTGAGTTCTTGTCTTTAAGAGCTAGGTGAACTCTTGTTTTTCTTTTTGAAACCTTTTCTCACTGGTTCAACTACATGCTCTGGCACTTTTCCCCATTGTTATATGCAAATATGTTCACAGTGTGCAATTATAGTGTCTCTTCATTATAGATATTTTTGCAGGAATGGTCAATTTGAGCCATAATTGTTCTGTGTGTTTCAGTGTCATGTTCTCAATAGTGTAAGCCCTACCAGGGGAATCTGTGTTTTTTCCTTCTTTTATGACCATACTGTGACTGTTCAGGCAACAGTAAGTCCTTACCAAGCATAGAGTTGCTCGGAGATGCACGGGCTGCTGTCAGCATGCCTCAGGGTGGCTATCCCAGGCATGCTAACTGGGATGCAGCTCTAAAGTTCGGATCTCCAAGACCTCGGTTTATCTGAAGTGTAATTGAAGTGTGACTTTCAAAGCATATTTGAAAACCCAATTTTCTCAGCCCATGTCTTTCATTTGTACAAATGAAGGGAGGGCAGTTCCTCTGAAGTCTTGTGTGCGGCAGCAGAGCCAGATTTAGGACACTTTCTTTACCTTCTATTATGCTGCTTTTGCCACTCTGCTATGGTATCTTAACAGAGTTCTTTTTTTTTTTAATGTTTTGTAGAAATCTTTAATGACCTTTTAAATGGGTTCCTCTAATATATTTTACATAGTCCTGCAGCATAACTATCATTTTGAGAGCTCTTTGTTCTATATCTAGGACCATACAGCAACTTCTTTTGCCTCCTGAATTATGCACTTTGTTATTTCCTATATACTACATCTGGAGGTATTAGAATATTTCGCGTTTGTCTAACTGGAAAATAATTTACTTTTCATTTTCAAAAGTATGTTTGCTAAGTATAAAATTCAAAGAGGACAGATCTTTATTTTCTTTTAGTCCTTTAAATTAATTAGTCTATTTTCTTACACACTTGGTCTTTTTTTGTTAATTTTATTGAGAAACAAATAGCAATGATACAGTTTCAAAACCAATTAGTAAGACAGTTTCAATAATTAATACACTGCATATTGTTGTCTTCATAGCGGTTATCCATAGTACAAGATGCAGACATGATATCCTGTCCAAACACTTTTAGTACAAATCTTTCTTCCCATTGAATTAAGAGAAAATAGCTATATATCTATCCTAACTATTGTATGCACAGATACAAAATGGTCCTTCATTTGTATCCCTCCCTTTTTTTTGGTTTAGTTTTGTCAGAGATGGGTATTCCATTGCCATTAAAATATTGTGTGTGAATTCAGCAAAATAATCCAATATAGTCAAGTAGCCCATAATAGTGTGGGTTATCTGTAGAAATGGCAATGTCAGAAGTTCCTAACAGAGGTTTTTTTTTTAAAAATGAAAACTTAAATTGGACTGTTCATCAAAAGTTTTCTGGGTGTTTTCTTCTTCTTATCCCATATCTTTGAGGCTCCTCCTTCTATGTGTACCTCCAAATAGCAGAGCCTGATCAGCCTGCTCCCAAACACACCAGTGTAGCCAACTGCATCACACCACTCTTGAGCACACAGGATGGGTTCGTTGCATTTCGCAGGAAGTGTTTCACTGAACACACACCGGGTAATAACTACTTAGCTTGGCGGTTCCTCACGGCCACTGTTCAGTCTCTGGTCTACCCGTATCACTCCAGTCTAGGAGGCTTGTGCTGAGAGTGAGAGTGTGAGGGGCTTAGGATTCAAGTACAAGGTGAGGAGTTCAGACGGGACAGGCAGGCATCATGTTATATGACTACTCGGTTTACTGAAAGATTCTCTAAACTATTGGTTCTTTTGAAGTTGAACATACCAATATTTGATCAGAGGGTCAGACACCTAAAACCCTTGACAAGTCCAGGATTTTTTTTTTTTTTTGAAATAGATAGTCATAAGAACATTAACAATTGGATAACTTAAAGGAAGTGAATGACCTTCAGGATATGAAGGAAAGGTAGGTTTTCACACACCATCCAGCTGGATGAATTCACACATTTAGACCACGAGGCAGTCGAAAACTCACTTCTTAAGAACACCATCTCATTGAATTTTTACATCTTCAAAATGTGTTGTTATTAGAAATGTTTTACAGATGAATGGAATGAGACTGGAAGTAGATAAATAACTTGCTCAATGTCACACAATTCAAAGAGGTAGAACCAGGCCCCAAGGTATTCCTGTCTGAATCGTGTATTCATTTATGCCCTTTAAAAGGCAGAATACTGGACAGGACAGACCATTGATCGGAGCCAGTTCGGTAGTTTTTATGTACAGGGATGCCTCATTAATCTCATATTACTGGGGAATGAGCTGTTCTACATAAGTGAATATTTCATGTAATGGAAGCTTTAAGCACTAAAGCTTAACATAAAACTTAACCATTTTTGCAAGGAATCTTTCTGGCTAGCATTAGACAGTTTTCTTTTGGCAGCCCCATTTTCTCTGTTTTCTAATGTAAGCCATCTGCAGACCCAGCCTAACTTACACAGGCTCAGGGCCCATGAAACACGGACCCAGGTGCTCACGGGCCCTCCTTTCTATCTGCGGAATTGGAATCCGAGTTCAGCTCTCTGGTTGTTGGAATGGGCACCTTTATGGGTAGTGAGCTCCGATTTCATTCTCACATGGTGACGTGAGGGATGGCAGACGCTACTGGCTTTATTTGTGAGCAACTGCGGCTGGGTCAGCCCAGCCGAGACTGTGGAGACTGATGTACGGCATGGGCTGTGGTCTAGCAGTCCTGGAGGCCTCACTGCGGATTTCCACGCTGCTTTTCCTAGCATAGAGCCCTGCTTCAGCCTTTTGGATAGTTCTGAGTCCCTGCATTAAAGATTTGCGCTCTCTCCTGATATCAAGAAGCACAGACCAGGGCGTGGTTTCATTGCATCCCGCCTCGTGCGTACAAGCTCGTGGATTCTGATGATGGCTCAGGCCTTTTGGGGTTTGCTGGTCTGGCCAAATTTCCATAGCTCTCCTGATATGCTTATTTCAATGTGACTATAGCTTGCTCCCCTCTTAGGTGATGATTGCCAAGTAAAACCACTGGCTTGGGTATTTATGACACCTGACTTCACTTTTGAAGTCACTTAAAATTTTGACAAAGTAATACTTCTTATTTTTTTATGTATTTAATACAGGGCCACACTACCCAGCTCAGACTCCTAGTGATCCACCTGTTTTCTGGCCTCCCAGTGCTGCTGATTACAGGCATGCTCCACTGCCTGGTGTCAGTGGCCAGAGGCTAAGCTTGCCCTGGGGTGGGGCCAGCACTGCATGTGGTGCCAGGGATCGAACCCCTGTCCCTGCGCTTGCCTAAGCAGGTGCTTAGTCCTCTGGGTTATCTCACTGGCCCTAAAAAATGATATTTTAAAATCAACATTGAAGAGAGCTAGAGAGCCATAGGGTGTGTGTGTGTAGGGGAGACACGGGGAAACAGTAGCCCTGCACAGCTATCCCATATGTTACCCTTTCCTTAACTCATTTCAGTTGAATGTTAGTTCTTGATTATTATTTTTTCCATTTCATTGACTTCTTATTCTGAAGAAGAGGATATAGCACCCTTGTATAATACCACATCCTTGCTTTCTTTTGTGTTTCTAAATAAAATTACAACAAATTTCCCAAAGGGCAATCTCTTTATTGATTGTGTTCTGTAGGTAATAGATTATTCTTATATGGAAACTCACATCTCTCAGTTAACGAGAAAATTTTGTGCATCAATAGGTTGGTAATTTTTTCTCTTCAGTTATTCTGTTCTCTTTTTCTGAAACTACCACAGTGGTTGATCCACTAGTTACTGAATGAACTGAGTATACTC